GTTATGCGGCTTTCAGGTATATTTGAAAATCCAAGAAATGCAGGAGGTTTTAAAGAAATAACTAGCTGTGATTTCTGGCTCTGTCCAAAAGTTTGCTTTTACAGATTTCTTACTACTGTAGGTTTTCCTCATCTTAATTCTAAGCATGTATGTGATCTAAAGTTATAAAATCTAAAGCACAATTTAAATGATTAAACGCTAAAGGTTCAAAGGGGGGAAGAGCTTAATAATGTCTTTGTAATGTGAATGGTAAAGACACCAATTATTGACTAGATGCAGCCGACTGAATGGACAGCCATGTTTAAAGTGAAGGTAACTATAAAGCCGGGAAGCGTCTCTGGTGAGTCAGAGAATTCGTAACTTGAGGAACTCCTAGTGGAAATGAAGTGGAAAGACAGTTTCTTTCATCAATGAGAAAACGTCTAGGAGAAGAGGTTTAACAAAACTCACCAGAGAAACTCACTGATGATTCACAAATTAAATCAGTTTACGTCATAGATTATGCCCCTCTGTATTACGTTAACCAACAAGCATACCAATCAACATGGAAAATACCGCTTTAACTTGCCTCAATTTCGTAAACGCCCGCCCCCGCTCCCACCGCCGCTTTGTAAATTCTCTAGACCCGGAGCTTCTCGCTTGCTCACAGTCCATTCCCCAGCCTCACTCTTCCTGGCTCTTAGCTGGCGCTCAACAAATCTTAGGTGAACTGAACAGAGCTGACAAGGCAATCTCAAGTTGCTGTCCTGGGGGTGGTGAGGCAAGGCACAGGAGAAAGGACTTCTAGTTCTTCCCACTGCCAGTGGAGCCCCCAGCATCACTTTCGGCCCCTTCGTGCCTGGGACCGTGATTTGTGGGTGACCAAGTCCCTCGCAAGCCTGCAGTACTTCCGCTGGTGCAGTCATCTCCTTCCCCTCGCACTAAAACAATACCCTGGCCTCCTGCCAAACTCGTGAGCAGCGAGCAACTCTGGCTGTTTATGGCCCGGATTGGGTACTGCAAGAGGCTTGGGCCGCTGTAAGTGTTAGCAGAGGCCCGGAGGAAGAGAAGAGGCCCAAGCTTTAAAACACTCCCTTCCTCCGCCCCCTCCCTTTTGTCCCAGGCACCAAAACAAACGAGCTGATACACGTGTCCCTATGACTCTTGTTTACTATCAAGACTGCGCTGTGCGAGCGCCTCTGGGATATGTAGTTCAGCTCTTCCCCGGCTAGCAGCCTCCCCCAGCCAAGGACCAAGGCTTGAGACTACGAACCCACAATCCATTTCGGGGACAAAGTTTGGCTCGGGTCCCCGGACTCTCGGCAGTAGTCCAATCCAAAGCACTTACTCTTGTGATTGACACGCCATCTTCTCCAGTAAACACAACACAAAAGTCAATACATGCCCGCCCCCCGAGACGGACCACGGTACTACCCAATGGGAAAGGGGAACAACCGAATGGCAGTTCTGCAGTCCAATAAGAGGGCGAAAGAGCTGGGCGGGTGCTCAACCCCTAGGGGGTTGAGGGGCGGGGGAAGACGAAGCTTGAAAGACTTGGTAATGGCGACGGGTTTGGTAAGTAGGAAAGTTTCGGTTGAGGAGTAAGAGCGGCGGCGGGAGCAGTAACCCGCGCGGGGGAGGCCGACGTCGGTCGGAGAGGGGGTACGAGAGCTGCTGGTGGTGTTGTCGTGGCCGGGGCGGCCCGCGCCTGGGCTGCCGGCACTTCGCGGCAGGTTTGTTGTCTTTCAGTTCGGGAAGAGGTGGGGGTGGGGAAGGGAGGGGCAGGAGCGCGGGGGATCGGGCAGCCGGAAGGGCTCGGGTCCTCGTTCCTCCTCCTCGGAGGGTCGCCCTTGGAGTGGGGGCAGTTAACCGTTCGATTGGTGTCCGCGGCGAGCCCACCGGACCAGCGTCTCCCGCAAGCTCACCTCACCTGGGCTTCGGGACTGCGGCGCTAGGGGGTCTCGGGCGGGAGCGGGGAGGAGGCAGCGGGAGGGCGACGTTCGGTGTCGGGTCGCGCGGTGGGTGGCCGGGCCGGGTGTGGAGATGGGGCGGGCCAGGGCGGGGGAAGGGGCCGACGCGGCGCCGGTGCTGCCCAGGAAAGTTTGACTTCAACTCCCCGCTTGTGGGCGGAGGGTCGGAGCTTGGCCAGTGGTGGGGGGCCGCCCTGAGGTGGGGGACCCCAGTGAGGCGACGCCGCCTTCTGGACCGAAGGGGTCTCCTGCCGAGCCGGGGAGCTCGCGTAGCCGCTGGGCCCCGGGGCTCATTGTTACGCAGTTCGAATGAATGGGCTCCCAGGCGCCTGCGCGCTGGGGCAGAGCCGAGGGGAAAAACAAGCCCGGAGTCCGGGCTGCGGTCACATGATGGGGGGAAGGGAGGGGAACGCGATGAATGGCGAAAGAGGGTGGGGGATGGACTTGGCGTGAACCGAGAGGCGCTGCTCTGTGTGACCCAAAGAGGAGGCTTGGCAGGCGATTCCAGCCTCCGCCTTTCAACCTATGCTGCCGCCGCAGGCTGATTGAAACAAAACAAAACAAGCCAGGCGAAGTCAACGGCCAGGTTTTTGTAGCTTTAAATGCTGCGTGCTGTCTAGAGTATTTCACTCTCCGCTGTGCACTCTGCACTCCAGAGTTCATACTTAGGGAGTTACCAGCTGCTGTCGTTTTTAGAAGGAGCACTGACAGCGAGGTAATACTCAAGTTTTCTGTTTGTTCTGTTTCTGGCTCACGTTGCCAGTGATGCCAGGACGAGAGGAGGCTTAGAAAAGGAGTTATACATCCTGGGAAGCGATGGAGTCCTACTAACAGCTCGGATGGAGGCTTTAGATTTATCACTCTAAATAGCCATAACCACTCGTAATAGTGGTTTTGAAATTAAAGGTACTTTTTGAGAATTAGAATAATTTTAACATTTGCAAATACTTTTCTGGTCATTTAACAGTGATCTAAATCTGCAATGTATGTCTTGTAGTTTTTTTTTGTTGTTATTTTATCTTGCAAATGAGTGGTAGAGTCGGTCTTCTGTTCCGTTTCCTTGGTTAAACTCAGTTATTGCTGGGTAGACAGTAGTTGACAAAGTTTCAAGGAAATTTGAATTACACTGAGAATTAAATCCACTCCTTAAAGTTTTTGGGTTATGTTATACTTTTGAGGAACCATTTAACCACTTTAAAACAAAATATTGTTTGTGCTAACTCGACGGATAAATTATAGAGTGAAGTTTTGATTTCACTTTCTAGTTTCATCTTAGTTTCGTAAACCCACTTAGGTTTTCTGTCTCGAAAACCTTTCCTCTTTCTTCTGAAACTCCTAACTACATACCCTAGTTAAAAGGGTACATTCTTCCAGGATTGCCTACCTACATGTCTCTGCTATCCTGTGTGTTTCACAGGGCATACCTCTCAGACTTCAAATATGATACTGTCACTGTGAGAGTTGTTTCCTTCACTATATATATGTGTATATATAAGAAATATATAATATATACATATATTATATATATATATATTTTTTTTTTTTTTTTTGAGAGGGAGTCTTTCTCTGTCGCCAGGCTGGAGTGCAGGGGTGCGATCTCAGCTCACTGCAACCTCTGCCTCCTGGGTTCAGGCGGTTCTCTTGCCTCAGCCTCGGGTCTACAGGTGCGCGCCACCACTCCCAACTAATTTTTTTGTATTTTTAATAGAGACGGGGTTTCACCACGTTGGGCAGGGTGGTCTCAGTCTCCTGACCTCGTGATCTGCCCGCCTCGGCCTCCCAAATTGCTCGGATTACAGGTGTGAGTCACCGCGCCCGGCCCATTATATTTTAACTTCCTTGGATTCTTTCCTCACTAATCGAAATGCCCAGTGAAGAAGGCATGCGGCATGATGGCATGGACTTACTAAACTGCTCTGCGCTGAAGGTTCTTCCTGGTGAATTGCAAGCTGGTGTTTTGTATATGTGTTTGAAATAAAAATACTGATACTCCCCTCTCCACCCCCACGCATACATTATTCGTTAGAAGTTACTGTCCTGGCGCGGTGTCTCACGCCTGTCACAGTGCTTTGAAAGGCTGAGGCGGGTGGATCACCTGAGGTCAGGAGTTCGAGACCAGCCTTGCCAACATGGTGAAATTGTATTAAAAATACAACAGTTAGCTGGGCATGGTGGTGCGCACCTGTAGTCCCAGCTACTTGGGAGGCTGAGACAAGAGAATCACTTGAACCCGGGAGTCAGAGGTTACAGTGAGACAACATCAGGCCACTGTACTCCAGCCTGGGCATCAGAACAAGACTTACTCTCAAAAAAAAAAAAAAAAAAGTCAATGCCAGGAATTTTATGTCTGTTAAGTATGAAACTGAGTATTTACTTGGAATAGAAAAATGAGTCACAATGAATTAAAAAAAAAAAGCTGTCAGATACCTGCTTACACAAAATTCAGGGAAAAATGGCATACTCTAATATTCTTATTAACTGATGTCAGTAACATTCACATTTTTCATATACTGATCAGCATTTACTTTGGTGCTTCATAATTTCTACTATCATTTTCTATAGAGAAACTAGAAAAATAATTTTCTCCATAATGTGGTTCATTGAGTTTTTAAAAGTTATTAAACAGCTTAAAAAAGCTTTTTCCACAAGTTTTTATAGATAATGTAAAAATGTTTAGGAGTACAATCAAGTTTAGGAAAACAAGTTTCATAAGAACTTCTAGATGATGTCAAGTTTTATTATATGACTCATCTTAAATACTTATTTGAATTGACAGTACTCCTAAAACAGTTCGTGGATGACTGCTTGTGCTATTAATGGGTTTTCTATTGTCTTGATCAATATAGCATTTCATGTTGAATGAGCATGAAATTACTAAGAATTTGTATAGATGTGGATTGGGCAGTGTCTGTGGGATGTAGTATCTTTTATACCTACAATTCTGATAGGTAGATAGGTACTAGTCCCATTTTTTTTGTTTTTACTTATTTTTAATAACTTTTTAGAGATGGGGTCTTGCTGTGTTGCCCAGGTTAGTCTTGAACTCCGGGCTCAAGTGATCTTCCTGTCTCAGCCTCCCAAAGTGCTGGCATTGCAGGCCTGAGCCATTGAGCCCGGCCATTAGTCTTATTTACGAATAAAAAAACGGGTCCAAAAAAGAAAACAGGCCTAGAGATTTAATTGTTGAGGGCCATGAAAGTGTTAAGTGACCAAAACCAATCCACTAAGGGTTTTTGTTGTTTTGTCTTTTTTCTTAGCCCAGTGGCAAACTAGAGTTGTAGACAAATATCTGTGAAATCTTTGGTTTGAAGTTTTGTTGAAAATACTTTAAAAGAATAGCATTAAGGCCTCTGAGATGCTTTTGGTATAGAAAGTTGCATTTAATATACTTTGTTATGGAGGGTTGTTTTAGCATGTAATTATGTAATCCATTTAAAATACCTCAGTTTCAGAGATAGAAATTAATTGCAAATTACCTTTTCTTCACCCACTCTGAGAACAATTTGAGCATATAGTCTGGACTGGGTATGGAAATCCTTCAGGATTAGGGGAGAGCATATAGAAGATCCTGCTGTGAATTCCATAATGATGATGGAAAGGTAAGGATTCAGGGAATAATAGCCACTTGAAAGCAGGAAGTAACCCATGCTGGCCTATACCTTTTGTCTTTTTTTCCTTTCAGCTCTCTCCTTCAAAAAGAAAATGGTCCCATTTAGTCATCATAGTCCTGTTTTCTTCATCCATAGTAACACTTTATTCACAGAGTTGTTGTGAGTTTAAAATAAAATTAGATGAAGTACATGGAAGTGCTGTGTAGGTAGGCATTTTGTAAAACCTAGTTTCCTTCTTCATTCATTGAGACTTAGCTTTTTCTAGTTCTCTCTTTCTCTCTTGTCTTAAGATTTTGTGGATATTTGCTTCTGGAAGTTTGCATACCAAAAGCAATGGGGCCTTCCAAGAAAGTAAAATTTGTAATACTGAACATGACATTTCAGAGTACAGCTTCTGGAAAATTTTACTGAGAATCACTGATGTAGTGAAGGGATGACATGTGCAGAGTTAACTAAACTACAAGGCAAGCTGTGTTGAATCTGATACCAAAGCAGTATACAAAAGCATGAATGAACAATAGGGTTAGCTCTACCAGGAGATATTTGAAAGAGGAGCTTGTTTATCAAAATGAGTATGTAATTGGTATAATGTATGTAGGGGAGTAAAAAATGTAAGAACTTTTCTGGTATTCCTTTACTGTATTGGAGACCTTGCTTTCTTTCTCCAAAATAGTTGAGAATAGACAGAAGAGGCAGAAAACTTCCATTTGTATATGGTTTTGAATTTTGTTTTCATGTATTGAATTCTCAGAATAGCCCTGTGAGGTAAGTAGAGGGACTGTAAGTCTGAGATTGAGTGACCTGTCCCCGGTTACACAGCTAGTAAGAATGAAACCGAAGTCTGTTGTCTTGAAATGTAGCGTCTCTTACTGTGTGCTACTTTTACAGTAGCAGAACTTCAGTTTTCTCAGGACCAAACTTCTGATAGCCTTGAGCAATGAGAGGTGTGAACACGTAGAACTTATATTCAGTAAATATTTATTTGGTTCCTTTGGTTATTTATAGGTAGCTCTGTTTTGAAATTAAAATAATGTTTTTTTCCAACTTCATTTAAGGAGTTTTGGGATGGTGGTTGATAACTAAGACAAAGTGCTGAAGAAATGATAGAAGTTGCAAAGAGACATTAGTGTACTATACTTGGTGAATGTTGGAAACTGCAGGACCTGCTGTAGGGAAGAAAAATGTTCTAGTTGGGAAGAATGAGGAAACCAAAGAGCTCTGCAGAGGGAGGGGGAAGACAAGACAGACTGCAGCTGTGCTTCTGCGGACCCCAAGAACGGCACTGTTCATGCACAAAGGATAGCTCTGAAGAGAGAGAAATGTGTAGTGCAACTTCTGAATTTCATAATAAAGGTAAAAGTAGGAAATGTTTTAAGTTCAGATAGGGTTGACTATGTAGCTCACATCTGTATGTGAAGCATCGCACAGATATTCATAAGGATTTTTAGTTATCAAAATAGGTTAAATTATATTCTGTATACTTAAGATGGCAGAAATATTTCTACGGAAAGAGTTAAAATCTCCTATCTAAACTGTTAATATTAGCTGTTTAAAGAACTCACGTAGTGTGACTAGTTTCTTAAGAGTTACTAAATAAGGAATCTGCACTGATATTATCAATCACCTTTTTGGAGAAACATTGCAAAGGAAGCTGGAGACAGGTGGCTTACATAGACAGAGACTGGGAATGTGAATGCTCGCTCTTTTTTTTTTTTTTTTTTTTTAATACCCTCCTTAAAATGTTATAGGTGTTCCTGCATACTCATACAGTATTTCAGTATGATTTTGTCCATAGACTCAAAGAGACTGTTTTAAAGTATAGTTCTGATCATGTCAGACCTCTGTTAAAAAAGAAATCCTCAGTGGTTCTTCATTGTCTGATAATTGCTAATCATAACACTAGCCACTGTACATTGAAGGCTTTGTGTTAGGCACTATTCTGAGCATTTCACATTATCTCACTGAGTTTTTATAACAGCCTGTGAGGTAAGTACTTTTATTTCCATTTTATAAACAAGGCATGAAGATTTTAAGTAAATTATTTAGGGTACATAGCTAATAAGTGGCCAATCTGGTATATAAACTCAGGCACCCTGATTTCAGAGCCCCTATTCTTGTCTGTAAATAGTTTTCCTAAACTACAATTGAAGACTCTAATCCTAGACTACCTTGTCGTATAGTAGTAGTAGTATAGCCTCAGTATTCGTGATCACATGACACACAAGGCCATCCTACTGTGTGGTAAAACTAGATTCTACTCTGATCTCACTAGGACTTTGCCAGCTATATGAGTTTACTCATGTGAGTTTCTCTCATTTGGAGGCCTCTCTCTCTCCTTTTTTTTTTTTTTTTTTTTTTTTTTGGACCGATAGAGTCTTGCTCTGTCGCCCAGGCTGAATGCAGGTTGGCACCATCTCTGCCTCACTGCAAACTCCGGCTCCCGGGTTATTCTCCTGCCTCAGCCTCCCGAGTAGCTGGGACTACAGGTGTCTACCACCGTGCCCGGTTAATTTTTTGTATTTTTAGTAAAGATGGGGTTTCACTGTGTTAGCCAGGATGGTCTCGATCTCCTGACCTCATGATCCACCCGCCTGGGCCTCCCAAAGTGCTGGGATTCTAGGCGTAAGCCACCACGCCTGGCTTTTTTTCTTTTTTGGAAACGGAGTCTCGCTCTGTCACCCACGCTCTAGTGTAGTGGCGCGATCTCGGCTCACTGCAACTTCTGCCTCCCGGTTCAAGCGATTCTCCTGCCTCAGCTTGCTAAGTAGGTGGGATTACAGGCCCGTGCCACCATGCCTGGCTAATTCTTGTATTTTTAGTAGTGACGGGATTTCACCATGTTGGTCAGGCTCGTCTGGAACTCCTGACCTCATGATCCACCCTCCTTGGCTTCCCAAAGTGCTGGGATTACAGAAAGTCCAGCCCCTTCTTTTCTTTTAACCCATTCATAGCCAAGTCCTGTTCTGTAGAACTGTGGTCATTTGCTTATATCTTTCCACTAAAGTGTAGATTGAGACTCATGATGAATTTTTGTTAGTGAGGTCCAACATTTCATCTAATACAATGCCCTGTGCATAGTATTTATTAAATAAATGATATTTTTAATAAGTAGGAATTTAGCAACCATTTTTAGCCCAATGTGTCTCAATATTCTGCACCTGGAAACAAAAACCAGTGCACAAAGCCATACCCCAGGCCAGATAGATCAGATCCTCTGGGGATGGAGCCTGGGAAACATTTTTTTTAAGCGTATATATGATTCCATGTGCCACAGGGTAGAGTTGAGAATCACTGATGAAACTAAATTTGCTCCATTTTTCCCCCCCCCAGGAGCAGGTGGAGGCTCAAAATCATGATTTCATACTTGAGAAATAGATTCGCGTTACACATTTTCTCTAGTTGCTAGTTATGTAAGTGAAATTGTTATATCCCAGCATATTTGCTGTAACTATATGCTAAGACTGATTGTGATCAGTACATTGTACTAAACTGGAGAAGTGTTAATTTCTTCCAAATTTCATCTTTTAGGGGCCTAAAGTAATGGCATGATACATTATTTTTATTGAGATGTGCTGGATGACTTGTCATAATATCTCCCAGGGAGGAGACTGTTGAAACTGAATAGCTATCTGGTTTCCACCTATTAACTATGTATTTTCAGTAACTGTTCTATTTAGGACATTACAGACCCAAAGTATGTTTAATATTGCCCTATGTCTCGGGATAAAAAAATTTCAAAAGACGTCATTTTACACTTTTTTCACTATTTCATTTCATCCTCACAACTACTCTCAGAGGAAAGTAGGGCAAGTATAATTAGCTCTATTTTACAGATGAAGAGAAACTCAGTCACTTAGGTCATATATTTGGTAAGTGATCAAGCTGGAATCACAACCCATTTCCTTACGTCTAACCCAGTGCCCTTTTTGCCACACCACAATACATTGTATAGTCAGTATTGAGCAAGGCTCTCAAGCAGTGCCCAGGATAAGGGTTGTTTTTGAGGGGTATAGGCAGATAGCATCCAAAATAGAATATTAGACATATGGTAAGGCAATATGCATGCAATTGGGCTGTGTGTCAAGAACCCTGTGTCTAGCCATCTAAAATAATCAGATGTAAGCAAATACTTTTAAAAATAAGAATATAAATTCAGTGTTTAGAAGAGTGAAGAAACTCAGAATAGCATATTTAGCAGTAGAGGGTATAAGTGAATTTCAGTACATCCTTAAGATGTATATGTAACCATTTAAAGCTTTGAAAAAAATGACATAGGAAAATGCTTATGAATTTACATTACGCAAAAAGGTACCAAACTATAATATGAACTATGAAGAAAAACATGATTGAGTGTACATGTACATGAAGAATAAATTGGATTGTAATACATCAAAATGTTAAAAGTAAGTCTGGTTGGTGGGGTTAGAAGTAATCACTATATTCCGTTTTTTCCAAAGATTTTTTTTTCCCATTTTTTTGCACAGCGATTGTATTTTCTAGTCAGGAATACATTTCAAAACCAAAAAGATCATGAAAAAGCCTTTGTAGAAAGAAATTTATCAGTGCCATCAGTGTTTATTGGTAATTAACATCATGGCTTAGAAAGCTTATAAATATTAAGTGATTAACATTTTTTCAGTGCGGTTTTGATCAGCGTGCACTGGGGTAGTACCCCAGTGACTTTCAGTGACTTTTAACAGCAATATATTTTATTGCTTTATTTTGAGGAAAAATATGCTGTTGCAAAAGTCAGGATTTTTTTGTGTATTTCATATTCACTCATTAGAACTTTATTACTCATTAGAACTTTAAGAGATGGAGTCTTGCTACATTGCCCAGGCTGGATTCTAACGCATAGGCTGAAGTGTAGTCCTCCCCCTTCAGTCTACCCCAAGTAGCTGGAACTATAGGCACGAGCTACTGCATCAGGCTGGAACTTTTTTAAAAAATGGAATTTAGACTAGAGCCTGATAAATCAGAAAATCTTACCATTGTTGCTTATGTTAAATAAAGAACTAATTTGATCATTGTCCAAAGGGTGGAATAAAAGGTATAACCACATTTTCCTTTCATAATAATATTTAGTTGTTGGATTTTGCCGAGAAATTATCTAAATGTGTTAACCCATATTCTCTTCCTTCTGTTAATTTTGTAGGCTTGCAGGTAGATTTACTAGTTGTTTAAATTTCCCGTGATTATTATTCATCTTTCTAGACATAATATCTTATTCAGAATGACAGGTATCTTTTATCATGGCTAGGTCCCAAATTTTCATTAAGAAAACCTAAGAACAGTTTTATTTTTATGAGAATTGTAATATATGACCATTTTAGGAAACTCTTAAATGTTATTTAGAAAATGTATTTTTTTTGGTTGGGTGCGGTGGTTCATGCCTGTAATCTCAGCACTTTGGGAGGCCGAGGCGGGTGGATCAGCTGAGGTCAGGAGTTCGAGACCAGCCTAGCCAACATGGCAAAACCGTGTCTCTACTGAAAATACAAAAAAGTAGCTGGGCGTGGTGGCATGCACCTGTAATCCCAGCTACTCGAGAGGCTTAGGCAGGAGAATCACTTGAACCCAGGAGGCGGAGGTTGCAGTGAGCCGAGATCATGCCTCTGCCCCCCAGCCTGGGTCACAGAGCGAGACTCCTCCGTCTCAAAAAAAAAGAAAAATGTATTTTTTTTTAAGTGTGCTGAAGTAGTTCACTTTCAGAATGAGGAAACAAAATAAACACAGTAAATAGAGACATTAAAATAGAATCTTAAAAAAAAAAAGGAAAAAATAGAATATTCCTCCAGTCTTTTTAACTTTTATTGAGGAAAGTTTTTAAATTTCCTTTTGAATTTGAAGGTACAAGTGAAAAAAAGAGTCCTATTAGTCTCAGTTTTTGCATCTGAAAGGAAGGTTACTAGGTTAAAGAAATAAAAGTATATATAATGCCATTTTTCTTCAGCAGAAAATACTTTTTTTTTATAATTCAAGATATTAATCTTTTGGGATTGAGATGTAATTTAGTGCTGAGTATTCAGTTGTAGGCCAAGATATTAAGGAGTCATCGGAGTCTAAAGGATTTGAGGGAGCTATGAATGGCAGTGTGTAATTAAGTTAAAATGTAACATTGTGGCGGGGCATGATGGCTCACGCCGGTAATCCCAGAACTTTGGGAGGCCCAGGTGGGTGGATATCTTGAGGTCAGGAGTTCGAGACTAGCCTGGCCAACATGACGAAACCCCATCTCTTCTAAAAATACAAAAATTAGCTGGGCATGGTGGCGCATGCCTGTAATTGTCCTACTTCAGTGGCTGAGGCTGGAGAATTGCTTGAACCCAGGAGGTGGAGTTTGTAGTGAGCTGAGATCATGCCACTGCACTGCAGTCTGGGCGACAGAGTGTGACTATGTCTCAAAAAACCGTAACAACAAAAAAAACCAACATTGTGTCTCTGATTTATTTTAGGTTTGTGTAATGCCCAAATTGCGTGGCTTGACATTATTTCTCATGTTTTTATTTTAAGTCAGAGCACCATAACATGGTGTGGGAAGTGAAGACAAATCAGATGCCTAATGCAGTACAGAAACTCCTGTTGGTGATGGACAAGAGAGCCTCAGGAATGAATGACTCATTGGAGTTGCTGCAGTGTAATGAGAATTTGCCATCTTCACCTGGATATAACTCTTGTGATGAGCACATGGAGCTTGGTAAGCAAAATTAAAAGTTACATAGGAATCTCACTAAGATTCAGATAACTTTTCATACTTAGCCCGCTTCTCCACCAACCTTGACTGGCTAGAAAAGGATATGAAGTATTTGTATATTAGAAATTTTCAACATTCTGTTATTGCTTTTAAAATAGTACTTAAAATCAACATGAGTTGGGCTATTTGTGGTTATTGTAGAGACTCATTTACAGATTATTAAATTAAACTACTTTGTGTATAAAGACTGGACCCCACTTGTGGCTTTTCGAAAGATATTACTTTTGAAACATACTCGAGAGAGCTCAGTAAAATATGCTGAGCCACTCTTCGTGGCAGATTTGCTGGTATGATGTGGAAATTGCAGTGGACCTTTGAAACTTGAGGATCTGACATTTATGGTTGTCACTATTGCTGAACTACTCCTTGAGATATGTGACCTGTAGAAATGTGTAAGTTTGTTGAGGTATGTTTTTGAATTGTATTGCTTCGAGGTTGGTGTTCAGGAGTATAGAGCTAATGAGTGACCTTGGCTTGCTGCCCAGCTTTTCAGCTTGGCGTTGCCCCCATTTAATATATGGGGGTTTCCCTTCATGTTTATAAAAACGCTGGGGAGAAGATACAGCTGTTTTATTTTTACAAATGATGAAATGGAGGAGATTATGTACTGTGGTAATGTTTGGAAATTTGGAGATCTTAAGCTCTTGGGACACATAACCTGCTTGAATGCCAGGGATTTTCTGGGCCCTAGTATGAGTACTGGTTACTTTTGAGCAAGGAGTGCCATTTTAATCAGGTAGTTGATCTTCCTCCATCATGTTTTTGGTTTAAGGAGGAACTCAGAAACTTAGGGCCCAGGGGAGTAAAATAACATGCCACTTCCACCTATGACTTCGTTTAAAAAGTAGTTAATTTCCTGAACTTCAGAACAAATGAACCCTTTGCAGTAAATGAACGTTGGTCAAAGGCAATGAGGGAAAGGAAATAGCTATACCAGCATGAAAATTGTAGGGTAGAATTATTTTAAATTGGTGTGATGTTCTAGAACTCCTTGGCTCCTTCATGACTCCATGAAAGAAGTCAGTTTTTACCAGTGGATATCCTGAGTCAGTACTTCTAATTAAAACATTTCAGTTTGGCTTGGCATGATGGTTCACGCTAGTAATCCCAGTACTTTGGGAGGACAAGGATCATTTTGAGACCAGGAGTTCAAGACCAGCCAGGTCAACGTAGCGAGATCTCATCTCTACAAATTTTTTTTTTTTTTAATTAGCTGGGCATGGTGGGCACATGCCTGTAGTCCTAGCTACTTGAGAGGCAGAGGCGTGAGGATCACTTGAGCCCACGGATCCAAGGCTTCAGGGAGCTATAATTGTACCACTGCACTCCAGTCTGGGCAACAGAGTGAGACCCTGTCTCAAAAAAAACAATTTTCTTTTTTTTTAAAGATTAGGACATTTCAGTTTTAGTAGACTGTTCTGGAATATTTGCCTGAATAGAATTATACATACTTTTATAGTGACATTGAGGAGACTAGAAGTTTTCTTGACTTGTATATTTAAGGGACCTAGTAGGTTTGTGGAGTTTGTAGTATGTGTTTCATGGAGAGTTGTTTTTTTTTAAGCCTTAAAGATGCTTTTTCTTTCCTACTGCATACACACATACATACAAATATATATATATATATATTTTTTAAAAGAATATATATATAATTTTTTTAAAAGAATTCAGTATTTTGGAATTCAGTGTTCCTTATAGTGCTTGGTGTGTACATGAATGGTACTTGGGTAATATTTCTAGTCGTCTTATGGGGAACTGAAAGGGTATTGTGAACTACCTTTTAAGAATGCACTTATAGGGAAAAATAACCAGTAAATATTAACAAGATCAGAATTTATTAGTGAAAAGAAATACTTTAACACAGAGTTGTGTAAGTAGTAGCATAAATATTTATGTGATCTATATTATTATGGAAATTATTGTTTTCATTATAGTCTGTATAACAGGTTATTAAAGTATGTGATTAGTAAGTACATAATGCACACATAAAATGTGCTTTTCTTGATTAACTTGTTAATGTAAAAATGTCTCAATGGCATATGGGTCACTCCTAGGTGAGGTACAAAAACCTAGGGGGAATAAAAAGCAGAAAACACAAACCAAATCATGTTTTTCCAGTCTGTGAACAGAATGTTAAATTTATGCTTTTCCTCTCTCAAAATTAATTAGCTAAAATTGACTTCTCTTTTAACTGCAGTTATAATATTGTTCCTTGTATTAGTAATTTCCTTTTTATGATTTTGAGTGTGCTTATATTTGCAGATGACCTTCCTGAACTTCAGGCAGTTCAAAGTGATCCTACCCAATCTGGCATGTACCAGTTGAGTTCAGATGTTTCACATCAAGAATACACAAGACCATCTTGGAACCAAAATACCTCAGACATACCAGAAACTACTTACCGTGAAAATGAGGTGGACTGGCTAACAGAATTGGCAAATATCGCGACCAGTCCACAAAGTCCACTGATGCAGTGCTCATTTTACAATAGGTAGGAGCATTGATTATATTTTTATTTAAAAATTCTATCATTACAGAAAGATTTTGTTTAAAATTTTTTCTAGTTTAAAAGTAATAATGCTTTAAATTATTAGAATTTAAGTCATTAGAATTAAGCTCCTTATCTAATGATCAAAGACTTATTTCACTTACTACCATGATTTCATATTTTGAGAATTAAAGGGGATAATGAGAACCATAGAGTAAAAAATATTTGTAAATGTTTAAAATAAATTAGACCATGAAATAATTTTACTACATATAGAAATGAAAATTATATTTGTCTAAAGAAGCAAAGAAGCAGAGTTGTAATCAAGATTATATTTTAAACTTTTATCAAACTTGAGTTGGGTTCCATTTGGTCTAGGTTTATTTCTTCCGTAGTTTATGTGGCCTTATGTTATTTGCCTGTTTGCTAATTCTAAAATTTGCTAATATTGAAATCTTAAACTTACAAAAGTGGATTAAAAGTGGGTAACACTGTTTCATATATCCAGACAGAGTTTAAGAAAATGAGTGTGCTATGAAATTATGGAAGCTTCCAGCTAATATGCCTAGGGAGACCTAAGTGGAAAACACTTTATTGTTTATCCCTAAAAAGAAATGGATAAATATGACAGTTTATAAGGGAGAGAAATGCCCATATTTGCACACCTGTGAGTAGGAAATGATAGACCAGAGTTTTATACTAGGTAATGTAGGAATAACTGTAAACTTTGTTAGTGCTCCTGAGTGTAATGCATTGCCAAAGAATAAACTTATTAGGTGTGAAATCTCACTTTTCTTGTAATCTATTAAGTGGTGCTGCTTTTCTTGTATTTAGCAGGATATTGATCTTGACTAGAGCAAATTGAATTTAGTTAACTTCAGTTTAATTCCATGTTTGTTTCCATAGGAAAGAAAACTTCCTTTCAGAGTTCCTATTTCCTTTATAGTCCTAGTTTTCGTTGTAATCTTAATAGTCAAAAAGCTAAAAATTATTATTATTTTTTAAAAAAACCCGATTTGGCCGGGCGCGGTGGCTCAAGCCTGTAATCCCAGCACTTTGGGAGGCCGAGACGGGCGGATCACGAGGTCAGGAGATCGAGACCATCCTGGCTAATACGGTGAAACCCCGTCTCTACTAAAAAATACAAAAAACTAGCCGGGCGATGTGGCGGGCGCCTGTAGTCCCAGCTACTCGGGAGGCTGAGGCAGGAGAATGGCGTAAACCCGGGAGGCGGAGCTTGCAGTGAGCTGAGATCCGGCTACTGCACTCCAGCCTGGGCGACAGAGCGAGACTCCGTCTCAAAAAAAAAAAAAAAAAAAAAAACCCGATTTAACTATCGGATTTGTTTTCTTTCTCTAGAGATAATACTTTTTTTCAGTTTTTACAGCAGAGTCATAGGATTAATAATACAGTTTATGGAAAGTGTGTAAACCCTTCAGAAGAAAATCAGTGTAAATAAAAACATAAGACATAAAGAAAGGAGTATCTCCCTGAGGATGTATTATTCTGTCCAGCATTTTGAGTAATGCTCTGCTCTCTGGCCTGCCTCCTAACACTGTCTGCTCATGCAGCTTCTTGTTGGGTATTAAACTATGTTACTGAGCTTTGATATCTGAAGTCTTAACTGTATAGTTAAGGAGTTGAGGACAGGTAAAAATTTATATTACCCTTGCATAGATAGAGAAATGAAGAAATCAATGCTGTGAGTGTTGAGACATGTTTAGCATGTTAATTTTCACAGAGTATTCAGGCCATATACATTTTAGAATATCACATTGTTCTTCATTTTGATTTATTTTTACTTTTTGTCACTTCCGTTTTAAGTGGTTAAACAGAAGAACTGATAAAACTCACTTTTTAAAATTAGGGAGTCAGGGATGAACAAAAGGAATATTTAGCAGTTTGGCCATTCTCTGATACTTCATTTATATCTAAATGTGTAATAACAGGATGGCCAGTTTTTGGGCAAAAGATGAAACATTTAGCATATAATTTGAAATCAAAACTTGGAGAGTATGCTAAAATGCATGGATATCTGAGGGCCTTTTGATTTAAGGAGTGATATGAACATGAAAGCAAAGTATAGATCCTTATGTAAAAGTAATTTCTGGAAAGGTAAAATGCAGAATGTTAATGAGGATAAAGTAGAAATTGAAGGGCTAATACAATTTCTCAGGAAATAAGGGAAAAATTGGAAAGATGTCCTTTCTCTCTCTCTCTCTTTTTTTTTTTTTTTGTTTTTGAGACAGAGTCTTGCTCTGTTGCGCAGGCTGGAGTGCAGTGGCGCAATCTCAGCCCACTGCAAGCTCCACCTCCCAGGTTCACGCCATTCTCCTGCCTCAGGCTCCTGAGTAGCTGGGACTGCAGGCACCCACGACCACGCCTGGCTAGTTTTTGTATTTTTAGTAGAGATGGGGTTTCACCGTGTTAGCCAGGATGGTCTTGATCTCCTGACCTCGTGATCTGCCCGCCTCGGCCTCCCAAAGTGCTGGGTGGGATTACAGGCGTGAGCCACCACACCTGGCCCTTCCTCTCCTTTTTAAAAAGAGTATTAGTATAGATATGCATAAACTTTTTCTATTAAGCACCACATCTCTATTTGGCATCTCAACAATTATCCTGATTTGGGACCTTACCTTCAGATGGTTTTCCCTCCTCCACCTGACTGTCTTCCTCTCTGCTTCCTTTCCAGACTGCTGAGTCCGTACATGTCATTAATCATCCTTTATAAGCTTGTTTCTTTCTGTTACCCCACCCATGAATATCTGGTTTGTTTGTGAGGGAAGGATCTGGGTATGCTCCTGGGAGCTCCATATACTCTAAAGGGAGCATTGTCTGGTAAAAGAGACTTTTGAGGGGAAGAGAAGAGGGGAAGGTATAAAGTTTTTTTTTTAAGGTGATCCTTGGGGAGAAAAAACAACTAGACCTTATATGTAGTTGCTTTTCAGCAAGTTTGTATTAGAAAACAAGAAATAGTGTCCAGTTATGAGGAGGGTGGATAGGCTGCTCTCTGCTATAAAAAGTTTAAGCATTTTTGCTTAAGGTAGTTGTTATATCTGTCCAGTGATATGTGGTTGGTAGATAAAGAGTTCAGAGTTGGTTACATTAAGCTTAAATGCTGTCTTCATACTGGGAGTTACTGAGTACATCAAAGTAGAAGAAAGAAATGGATAGGACGCCCTGCATAAGTGGATATTAACATTCACGAATGAAATACACACGTATATGTATTGATAGAAAAATGAATGGGATAAATGAAACCGTAGTCGTAATTTAAAATATATTGTCAAATCTGAAAAAATGGTATCTAAAATGTGAGGATAATTTGGATAAGGAGTTAAGGAATATGATTATAAAATGAAATCTTGCTGTCTTTATTCATGTTTACCATAGATGTGTTCAATGTAATAACATTGGCATTTTAAATACGAAGTTATTTCATCAACAGGAAGGATCTACTTTAAGGACCTATGCTTACGGTTAAAACTGTTGCTTTATTTTAGATCATCTCCTGTACACATCATAGCCACTAGCAAAAGTTTACATTCCTATGCACGCCCTCCACCAGTGTCCTCTTCTTCGAAGAGTGAGCCAGCCTTCCCTCATCACCATTGGAAGGAGGAAACACCAGTAAGACATGAAAGGGTAAGTTTATTTATGAGGTTAAACTTTTACAAAGTTTGCACAACAGTTGAAATACATTAACTTTCCCCATAGGAAATAGTCTCACTGTTCTGTTAGTGATCTGCATTTGATTTTATATACAGCTCTACTATGTGTTAGGAAAGTTTATTATTAATGGGAATGTGCATATAACTTAAGCTTCCAAAAACTTCGTTTTGTGTGTGTGTGTGTCTTTTTTTTTTAGCAAATTCTCCCATAGCCTGACAATCTTCAGTTTTTGAAGGCGTTATATTTTCCCTAAGTTTAGAATTATTAAGTTACCCGCCTACAAGCATGGGCCTAAAGACGTGAGATGAAAACAGATATTAAAAGGTATATTTTAAAAACAAATAAAAAAGTTGATAATATTTTTCTCCATAGGCAAATAGTGAGTCAGAATCTGGCATTTTCTGCATGTCCTCCCTGTCAGATGATGATGATTTGGGATGGTGCAATTCCTGGCCTTCAACTGTCTGGCACTGTTTTTTGAAAGGTAAAAAAAAAAACCTTGAATTTTCTACAGCTTACTTGTCTAGTACAGTCACATGTCTAATACTTGTTTTCTACCTAAACCTTAGGCACACGACTGTGCTTTCATAAGGGAAGCAATAAGGAATGGCAAGATGTTGAAGATTTTGCTAGAGCTGAAGGCTGTGATAATGAGGAAGATCTTCAAATGGGCATTCACAAGGTTAATTTAAAAGTCTTAAAAAATTTTTCAAAATCTTTCAAAATGAAACAAGATATGTTGTTAATCTACAGAAATATCCTCCATTCACTTTCATATTTAAATGACATCTTACATTTTAGGTAGAGAACTTTTATGACCACTCATTGCTTAGTCTGATGGGGAGGAGCATTGATTTTATGTTTGCCTTTCTATCATGCTTTCTTGGATGGGAAATAGTATATTTCTTGGTGCTTCTTTGTGTTTTATACACTTTACATTGGGGAAAACTGATACTACAAATATGTAATGAGGCCGGGCGCGGTGGCTCACGCCTGTAATCCCAGCACTTTGGGAGGCCGAGATGGGCAGCTCACGAGGTCAGGAGATGGAGACCATCCTGGCTAACACGGTGAAACCCAGTCTCTACTAAAAATACAAAAATATTAGCCAGGCGAGGTGGTGGGCGCCTGTAGTCCCAGCTATTCAGGAGGCTGAGGCAGGAGAATGGCGTGAACCCGGGAGGTGGAGCTTGCAGTGAGCCGAGATTGCGCCACTGCACTCCAGCCTGGGCGACAGAGCGGGACTCTGTCTCAAAAAAAAAAAAAAAAAAAAAAAGAAGTATGTAATGAATAAATTAACTAACCAAAGCCTTGCCTTAGGTTATCTACAAAGTGATTAATTCCCCTATAGATTATTGACAGTCAATTATTGTAAGGTACTTTAAGCTGTTTTATATTAAGTTACTAAAACTAACATTTTCTAAGTTGATGAGCAAAAGCAGTAGCGAGCAATATTAGGATAAAGTTGACACCTTTCACTTTGAAATTTTTAATTTCTCCATCTCTCCTGTAGGCAAGAAAATGGGCATGTGAGATGTGCTTGTACAAATTCTTTTTTTGATCCTGCTGTGTCTCACTATTAAGTCTCTTGAGAAAAATTGTCCTGTCTTGGCTGCCTTCAGTTTCCTCCCCTTGCTTTACTCTTCACTTTAGTAAAGTTCACAATAGTCTTAACTTTCGCCTCTACTGCTCTACAAAAATTGTCTCAAAGGTTACTAGCTTTATTCTGATTTCTAGGATGAGAGACCTTATTTGTTCTGTTTGACATCTGTACAATATCTGACACATTGGGTTAGTTCCTGACATTGTCTTCCCTTGATTTGTGTAGCATGGCAGCATCCTGATTCTCAGTCTTTTAGGTCTGGTACTTGACTGTCCACAATGCTGAATATTAGACAAGATTCTGCCCCCTTCACTTTCTTCACCAGTTCCTCTCTCCTGATAATGTCAGCAGCGCCTCCATCGTGTCCTGTGGAAAGCACTCTGGACTTGGAGTCAGGAAACCTGGACTGTCTTTATAGCTTCTCCAGCAATTATCTGTGTTACTGATCTTAGGCAGATTGTTAACCTCTCTGAGTATTGGCTGCCTGATCTGAAAAATGGGATTGGATTACTTTTAAGGTCTCCTGCAGCCCTGAGAATTAGAAGATTTTGTAATTTCATTATTTGCCAGTCTGTGTCTATAACCTTCACCTGCACATTTCCAGCTGCATGTTAGACATCTCTACATGAATATCAGTCAGTTATTTGAACTAAGCTTAGTATGACCAAAACTGCCCTCACCTTTTTCTTCATCTTCTTGGCTTACTTTTCTCCTATTCTTTTAAAGTTATTATTATCCTCCTTCTTGATTACCAGATTCAAAACCATGAAGTTAGTCTTTTACTATTCTATTTCTTCCATTTATATTCATTTCATTCTAATTCTGTAAAAATTTTTAAGTCATTCTCTCTTATTCATTACCTTGTTCATGTGTTAGCGTAATTATGCTTGGATACTATAGCAAGGTTTTGGCATGTTTGTCTCCTTTGTTTTTCAGTGAATGTAAGGGTAAGGATCATGTTTGTTAGTGTTTGTATTTTCAGATCCTACCATGTGGCATGTGTTAAATGCTCAGTATTCATTGAATTTAAATTTGTCTGCTTCTATTACCATTGCACTTGTCAATTCAGGTCTATAATAGGTGTCTCTCATTATATCCTCAAGTAATTGAATATGAGATCTTTCCTTCTGTAGAGTCTCTTCTTATTTACCATCATCTTAAAAATTGACAGTCATGCTGATGAAAACACTTTGATTGATTTCCCAATACCTTCTAAGCAAAAAGTGTAAGTACTTTGCTTGTCTTTAAGAGGCCTTTACTAACTGGCCTCTCTTTATTAACTTTATTTGCCCCAGATCTGAACTCACCTTGTATTTTTAGCAAATACTCAGCACTCCCCAAAGAAGTTGTTAATTACAGATTTCTTGGTGCAAGGCATGTCCTTCCATCTTTCTAAGTTGCATTCTCAGTTCCAATTGGAATTGAAAATCCTCCTTAATCTCTCTTTTGGAATTAATAACTATTAAACTGCGTCACCATTATTTATACTTGAGTGTAATTGCTTATTCCAGTCTAGTTACTTATATATGTGTCTTTCTTCACTACTGGGTTTGAAAGCTCTTTAATGGCAGGGATCCTGTCTTGGTTATTTTTACCTTTTCCACAAAGTCTTACATGTAATGGGAACTTCACAGTGTTTTGAATTGAATATTTCCAATTCATTCACGCTATGCATATATTTTCAGGGCTATGGTTCTGATGGTCTAAAGTTGTTATCACATGAAGAAAGTGTATCATTTGGCGAGTCTGTACTGAAGTTGACTTTTGATCCTGGTACAGTAGAAGATGGTTTACTTACCGTAGAGTGTAAGCTGGACCACCCTTTCTATGTTAAAAATAAAGGTAGGGCTTGAATTGCATTTGTAGTAACGTTTTTTAAACAAAGCTTCTTAAATCTGTAATTATGTCTGTAGCTTTGATGATTAAGAAAAAATAATTTGAGGGGAAAACATCTTTCAAACTAAATAAAAAACTACCATAGGGAATGCTTATAATAATACCTAATGGTGCTTAAGTATCTTAGCAGTAGTCAGGTGGAACTCTATTTCCTGTGAGTGTAAGAAATTTTTAGATTCATGTAGCATACTATAATAAGCTTTCTGTTATCTTGGTATAGTTTGGGGAATGTAGTGATCTGGTTATCACATTTTCATTAAGAGTTACCAAATATGATATAAACCTGAATCACTCTTCAGAGCCTTATTATAGTAACACCATGTTAAACATAATTTTATAATTCAGAAACTATTTCATGGTCTCAGTCATCATCTATCACTTATTGTCATTGTAGACTGATGGAAGTGCTGATTGATAGAGGAGCCCTATATATAATAAAATGCTGAATGATAAGCTAGTTTTAGAGGGCTCTTACATTGCTGAAAGGAAATACTTATCTAGTACTTTATTGTAAAGATACATGACTTGTGTTAGAGAATCTCTTGAGATTTAGCAATAACTTTTTATTTTTAAGATATAGAAATGATATGTCTGTTCTGAAGTAGGGTGCTTTCTGTGAGTCCTCATCCTTTATGCAACATTGTTTAACTTTAGGTTGGTCATCATTTTATCCAAGCTTGACTGTGGTACAGCATGGCATTCCATGTTGTGAAGTTCATGTTGGCGATGTATGTCTACCTCCTGGACACCCCGATGCCATTAATTTTGATGATTCAGGTGTTTTTGATACATTTAAAAGGTAATATTGGATTAATTCTTTGTTTTATTTTCCTCTTAAAGTTTGCCCTTCATTTCCCTAATGGTTGTTAAGTCAGATATTTAGGAATTTCAGTCTTTAAAGATTTGAGAATGATGAAATGAAAACTTACTAGGTAATTAAAGTATAATAGTTAACAGAGTTTTGCATATAGTTGTCATATAGGAAAATTGAGTTTATAAAACATTTAGGATTAGATAAGGAAGAATATCACACGTTACATGACCAAGAGTTTAATGGTTCAGCTTTGATAGTTACATTTAAAAAGTTGTGGTATCTGGCCAGTTGTTTTTAAACAGCTTATACATCTCTTGTGTTTTTTGTAGTTAACTGTATTTTTCTTGATATATTAGTTAACTGTATCTTTGTTTAATACTTATTTTGACCAAGGGCATTAGTTGCATGGTTTAACAAACAGTAGAAAATAGGCCAAACTTGACATCTAAAGGCTTAGAGAGGGGAAGTGGTTATTCCTGAGATCACGTTGCTGGTAAGCGGCAGAGTAGGACAAGAACCAACGTGTCCTGACTCCAGAAGGTTGGTCAGCTATCTTCATTTATATGGGCTTTTCCTGGTTTTTGTGCTGAAAGTCCAGCTTTCAGGAAACCCCTCAGTCCTAGACAAACTGGAACAATTGGTCACCTTGCTCCTAGAAGGAACCCAGAGAAAGTCTGCTTGTAGATATCTGGGATTTAAAGATACATTCTTTCTTTAAGATGATTATCAAATCCATAGGCATGTACGGGCACTAAGTAGAGAATTCCCAAGAGTCCCTGCTGGCCTGTAGATTTTATTTCATTCAGTTCAATTAATATATTTTATATATCATGAGGATGAAACTATTATTAAAAAAGCAAATCGCATAGGGCCTGACACAAGCCACATGCTCAATAAATGTCTACAAGCTTATACTCTTAATGCTGTTTGATTATATCCCTCATACACACTCTTTTTTGAAAAACTAGAAAAATGAGTCAAAATTTTAATGACTGATACTTAGGATATATAGATTAGTGATAACTCCTATGTTTTGGTGAGACTGTAACCTGATAGAAAAATTTTGGAAGATAATTTGGCTTTATCTTGTAAAGGTATTAGCAATTTCATTCCTCTTTTATATATATCCTAGAGAAGTAAATTCTTGTAATCATGCTCAAGGAGATGTGCAAGTAAGTTTGTAGCTGTATTGCTCATGATAGCAAAAATGTGGAAACGGTCAATACTTATTAACTGGAGAGTGACTCCATGAATTCTGTTATAATCATAGTGGAATTAGTGGAAAATGAATGAACCTTAAGTATACACTTTAAAACATGCATCAATTTTTAAGACAATGTTTAGTAAAAATAAGTCTTGGAAATATACAGTATGAGTCTATTTTATGGAATCATGTTCCTTAGAAATATATCAAATAAAATAACGATTATATATGGTATGTAGCACACATTATATAATTATGTCAGGGGTCCCTGAAGACTAGCCCCCAGGTTTGATGATTTGCTCAGAGAATTCACAAGACTCAGCACATAGTTGTGCTCATGGCTGTGACTTATTATGGCAAAAAGATATTAATACAAAGCAAAACTGGGAAAGGGAAAAGATGTGGGGTGAAGTCTGGGGGAAGCCAGGCTTCCAGGGATCCTCTCCCAGTGGGATTAAGGGCATGTTTTATTCCCCCAGCAGTGGGCTGTGACAACATATATGAAATGTCGTCTCCTAGGGAAGCTCGTTAGACTCACTCGGGCACCTAGAGTTTTTATTGAGAGCGGTCACGTAGGTTTCTTCTGCCTGGCACATACCAAAATCCAGACTTCCAAAAGGAAAGCAGGCATTCAGAGCAAACTGTTGTTTGTACATCCAGTTTAGGCATGGTAAGCCACTCAGTTGTGGGAATGATGGGACCCCTCAAAATCCAAGTTCTAGAAATTAGTCAAGGGTCAACCTTGTAAGTAGACTTTTGAAAGGATAGCAGTCATTTCTGCGTAATGAAACACTGTGTCTTACATATTAAGAAAGATAGTAATATAACTAATGCTACTATAGTATTTATATATTGTATTTATGAGTAATATTTTCATAATAAAATTGAACAAATAAAGGAATGATAAACATTCAGGAGAGTGGTTATTTTTGGGAGTGGCAAATATGGAACTTTAAGTGATACTAGAAATATTCTTAATTTGAATTGTGGGTTCACTCATTTATTTGTATGCTTCATAACTTACATATATATATAAATTTTACATATTATTACATAGCACAAAACTTTTTTAAAGCAAAAGGGAAAACTTGTCTGCCTAATTCCTGTTTTTCTGAGATAGCAAATTCTTAACCATTTGATCTCACTGAATAATAATTACTCCCAAGATGACGTTAGTCATTGGTCTCATTTTATTGTTGAGTGACTTCAGTATAACAGCAGGAGCACCCACCTTGCAAAGGAGTGGAAATGGGTAGTATCATCATGGAGAAACCAGGACAAAATTGAGATGCTGAAAGTGACTATATTTTCATTGTGGATTGGATTGGTTAAGGGAGATGATGCCTGGCCTAGGGAGGGCAAGAAGATAAAGAGGTAAGAAGAGGAAAAAGTCCAAGTGGAACTGCTCCAAGCAAACTCTCGGGTCATGATTTACAGAGGACATGTGAGTAGTGTCTAGCTCAGGAAGAATCAGAAGTCAGCAATCAGTTGATGAGTTCTCATACGTAATTCAAGGTTCTGTTGTAAGCAGTCCATTCTGAGACACTTGAGAATTGAGGCCAACCCTCTAGGCCTCGGGCATTTAAAACAGTTTTTTTGACTTTTTGAAGTTGACATTTCTGTTCAAGTAATATGATTTAACAAACTTATTGAGTGCCTACTATGTATATAATGTTAATTTATTTCATATTAATTACCCTATTTGTAGATTATATCCTCATTTTACAGAGAGAAGTAAAGTTGAGAGGTTAAGGAATAAAGCCCAAAATAAAGGCAGTTAGTGTCAGAATTAGGATTCAAGCCCATATCTTGTAAAGATTCCAAATTTTTAGTACTCTAGCTACTCACCTAAGATAATTCTAAGATAATTCTACAATAATAGATACCCCTAATGGCATAATACACTGTGCCAGCTTCTGCCCTGTTTCTTACATTTATTGTTCTTTTTGGCACCACTGCATAGCTTAATTTCACAGATAAGTAAACTGAGGCTGTAGGGTTTATTTAACTTGGCCAAGGTCATATTACTAGCTGGAATTTGAACTCAATTGAAATTTTCCATTATTATTTTCAGAATTGGTTAAAAAATGAGTTAAGAATGGGCATGCCTCTTTGCTTCCAGTCTAGAAAAGGAAATGGATTAGTAAATGTATACAGTAAATGTACATGCTGATTGAGAGCCAGTGTAGCCTGTTGGGAACGTGAGCTCGATCTGGACTGCTTGGATTCAAATCCTGGCTTTGCAATTGATTTGCTATGGAAGCTTGAGTAAATTAATATTTCTATGGCTCCTTTAAAAAAAATCTGTAAAATGGGGATAATATTGGAAGGATTAAATAAGTTAATATCTGTGACATGGTTAATAGGCAGTACATTATTGTGGAGTTTGCCATTAAGACTAGTGATCAGACAGTGAAGTGGGAATGGGCATTCTAAGCTTAGGGAATGGCATGTACACAAAGTAGAGCTGTGAAAGGCACATTTGGGTACAGGTGCTTTAGTGAAGAGAGTGAATGCTTACCTAAGGTAGTATAGCAAAAGATGAAGCTGTTTTTAAAGATACTCTATGTCATTACTGCTACAGTAATAGTCATTGAATTTTGTGACTGATTTAAGTTGTATCTGTAATGGAAGTAGATGATAGTTATATTTGTGCCACTAGATGGTGGAATTTTCAAATTTTAGTAATTAGCTTACCCAGTATCTTTTGGTATTTTAAGTTGTAATCATTTTCCATCAGTAGAGATGGGTAATTTTGTGTCAGTGCTAAAGTTTGCTATTTTTCTAAATTATGTATGGGAGGGGCTGAAGATACCTTACAAAAACTGCAAACCTAGAAAGCAGACATTGCTTTCCTGACATAATACTGATTGCTAAGCATTCATTAGGTAATTTTGGAGTCATAGTTTAAGTACATTTATTTCATGCAATACTTTCAGAAAAAAGACATCATGTACTTGATAATTGGTAAAAGTCATTTACTGTGTGTAGTCAGTGGCATGGACCACCCTCATTCCTTTGGCTGTTTCCATCTATCTTTAGAATTTTGTAATCTCATGTTTTACCTTTAGGCAGATGGTATTCCTGTAGCTAATGTTAACCTATTTTGATGTATTACCGGAATTTCTGTTTCAGAGAAGCAAGTAGGAGCTAAGTTGAGATTAGAAGCTGAATAAAAGGTTTCCTGTCAAGAAGACAGAAAAGTACTATAGGCAGAAAGAGTTAATGCTGGAACAAGAGAATTCTTTAGCTTATTTCCATGTCTATGTAAACTGAACATACAGAACAAAATGTGGCCTTTCCTGACAAAGGCGGGTTTTTACAATGAACTTTTTTATGTTATTAGGCTATGTTATAGTTCATGGATGGCCTTTCAGGAGAGTGATGTATGTATGGCTCTCTCTACCTAAACAAATGACCTAGATTACTGGGCATTTTAAGTTCCTTTAATTATTTATTTGTTTTTGATTTTTTTTTAGACAGAGTCTCACTCTGTTGCCCAGGCTGGAGTGCAGTGGCATGATCTGCCTCCCGGGTTCAAGCGATTCTCCTACCTCGGCCACCTGAATAGCTGGGATTACAGGCATGTGCTGCCGCGCCCAGCTGATTTTTGTATTTTTAGTAGAGATGGGGTTTCACCATGTTGCCCAGGCTGGTCTTAAACTCCTGACCTCAGGTGATCCACCCACCCTAGCCTCCCAAACTGTTGGGATTACAGACGTGAGCCACCAGGCCTGGCCTTAAGTTCTTTTAGCCACATTTAACAGCTTTTCATTGCCCTTTCCCAACCTTTTGTTTTCTGTAGTATTTAGTGCTTAGGCCTGATATGTTGCCTGCCACTCCATTTTAATTTTCTAGGTCTGGGTGCCTATAGGCCAAGAAATCGTATTGTCACATTTATCCAGAAATGAATTTAAAATAAAAATAAGTGGGTTGTGTAGGATTTGGAGGAGTTACTTGCTATGAATAAAGTATGCTGATTATAACATTCCTTTGGGAGGTTCAAAGTCTTTTTTAAGCTTTTGTATTATCTACAGAGGTTTTTTTAAAGAAATTAATTTTAGTTGGCACATACACAGATTTCATTTTATAAGCAACTATCAGTGGCAAAAGTTGTTAGTGTTGGTAACATGATACAGGGGGATATGCACTGAAATTTCCAATCATGTTAAGGGTTTTTTTTGTTTTTTTTTAAACCTGCTTTTTAGAAATCAGAATTCTAAATTGAATTAAAATCTTATTTTTTTTTTAATTTTATAGCTATGACTTCACACCTATGGATTCTTCCGCAGTTTATGTGTTAAGTAGTATGGCTCGCCAGCGTCGTGCATCTTTGTCTTGTGGAGGACCTGGTGGTCAAGACTTTGCAAGATCTGGATTCAGTAAAAACTGTGGCTCACCTGGATCATCACAGCTCTCTTCCAATTCTTTGTATGCTAAAGCTGTTAAAAACCACAGCTCAGGGACTGTGAGTGCCACTTCTCCTAATAAGTGCAAAAGACCAATGAATGCCTTCATGCTTTTTGCCAAAAAATACAGAGTTGAATATACTCAGATGTATCCAGGGAAAGATAACAGGTAAAAATAGTGATAATTCTGATTATAATAAATGAGTAATACTTCAATATGGTTCATAGTAACTGGAATAGTTAAGTAAACTTATTCTTTAATAGCTTTTATTCAACTCATAGGTTGACTTTTTTTTTTTTTTTTTTTGAGATGGAGTCTTGCTCTGTCACCCAGGCCAGAGTGCAGTGGTACAATCTCGGCTCACTGCAACCTCAGCCTTCCAGGTTCAAGCAATTCTCCTGCCTCCAGCCTCCCAAGTAGCTGGGACTACAGGTGCCCACCAAGAGACAGGGTTTCACCATGTTGGCCAGGCTGATCTCGAACTCCTGACCTCAGGTGAACCACCCGCCTTGGCCTCCCAAAGTGCTGTGATTACAGGCGTGAGCCACCGTGCCTGGCCAGGTTGACTTTAAGAAGTTACTAAGTGGAATTTTTAGGGTTATATGTAATTATTTTATAATACCTAGACAATTAGGTTACCTACCTTAGTAGTAAGGATCTACCTTTTATTATTTGTGCTGTAGCCCAGGCTGGAGTACAGCGGTGTGACTCACTGTAGCCTCTATCTCCCAGGCTCCATTAATCCTCCTACCTCAGCTTCCTGAATGGCTGGGATTACAGGCACATGCCACCACAGCCAGCTAATTTTTGTATTTTTTGTAGAGATGGGGTTGTGCCACGTTGCCCAGGCTGTTCTCAAACTCCTGGGTACAAGCGATCTGCCTGCCGCCCAAAGTGCAAGATCTACCTTTTAAAATCATCTTATTTACCTGTTACAGGACACAGTTCTAACAGTTGATAGTGTATCTTTATAGAACAGCGAAACTAAGTCAACTATGGATTGTACGGGGAACTGGTAATTTGTAGCAAGTTGCCAGAGTTGTCAAAAGGCTGAACTTAAGAGCTGTCCTCAGTGGAAGCTGGGAATACAAATCAACTCAAGTCCTTCCTACTCTGTTGCCTGTACCCTTACTCATCTCCAATTCCTGTACTACTGAATCCCTCTCATACCAGTCAGGTTCTCCATATATTAATAAAGCTGTCTTCTTCCAGTCTTTGTATCCTGAGGATCAAAACTACCGTTTCCTTTATCTTGATATCATGAGAAAAGTCAGATGTAACACAGTAATGAATAGCTTTGTCCTAGTTCCTTATTCCTTAAGATACCTAAGTGTGGAATTACGAGTCAAGAATTCTAAGAGCCTTTGTTTGTTTGTTTTGAGGCGGAGTCTCACTGTCATCCAGGCTAGAGTGTAGTGGCAGGATCTTGGTTCACTGCAACCTCTGCCTCGTGGGTTCAAGTGATTCTTCTGCCTCAGCCTCCTGAGTAGTTGGGATTACAGGGGCACGCACCACTATGCCCAGCTAATTTTTGTATTTTTAGTAGAGACGGGATTTCACTGTGCTGGCCACGCTGGTCTCGAACTCTTGAGCTCAAGTGATCCGCTCACCTTGGCCTCCTAAAATGCTGGGATTGCAGGCATGAGCCACTGGGCCCAGCCCTAAGAGACTTTTTAATACTATTGAAATTTTTTAACTCTTGGATCTGTCATTTGTGTGACTTTTGGCAATTAATCTAAGTTGTAATCCATTTCTTCAGTAAAAAGGGGGGGTTTAAGTGTGTTTTTTTAAAAAAATTAGTTTGGAAGTCTACTTCTCTGTGACTTTGAGGCTTTAAAGACATTTTAAGAATAATTTGTACCTTTCCCCTTGTTCAATTTTTGAGAAAATGGCCTCGGATTTAGTGACAGGTACATGCTGCATTTCTCTTTTTATACATTTCTGGTATTATTAAACACATCCTTTGACTTCTAGAAACGGGATTCACGTCCCTGTAAGTCTCTTCCCTGCCAGTAGTTGAGAATGTCAGCTGGGATGCATTCTGTATTTATTTACAATCCTGGGGGACTGGACTATCCTGATGATAAGAAGTGTAAATCTCATTTTATCTTTAGGTGTTTTGTTTTCTGATCTTTTTATAGAATCTCTAAATCAGGTTATATCCTTTATTGCTCATAAATCTTTTTTTTTTTTTTTTCTTTTGAGAGGGAATCTTGTTCTGTCACCCAGGCTGTAGTGCAGTGGTGTGATCTCAGCTTATTGCAACCACTGCCTCCCAGGTTCAAGTGATTCTCCTGCCTCAGCCTCCCAAGTAGCTTGGACTACAGGCATGCACCACCACACCTGACTAATTTTTTGTAGTTCAGTAGAGATGGGGTTTCATCTTGTTGGCTAGGCTGGTCTCGAACTCCTGACCTCAGGTGATCTGCCCACCTCTGCCTTCCAAAGTGCTGGGATTAAAGATGTGAGCCATCGTGCCCAGCCAAATGTAATATTTTCTTTGCATTTTAGCATTGCTGCCATGTGGTATACTGGTAATCATCTAACACCGAGGGCCATCAGATGTCACCTCTCTTTAAACCGAATAAGTCATACATAATTTTGAAAATGGATTTTTCCCTGTCTCTAATAAAGCTGCCTTAATTCAGTGAATAAATTCTCATTTGGAGGCAAATTCTGACGGAATGGAGACTAGAATAGGTCAGAGACATGTAGCTCATTTTAAGTTGCTATAAATGTCCATCTGGATGTAATATTCACTGCAGAAATAATCTTTAGATGTGTGTATTTTATAGTTGTTAGGGAATACAGCATATAGTCTATAGCATTGTGTACATTTCATTACCTGTCATATTTTAACTTAAAAGAATAAATTTGTTTCCCAGTGCCGGCCCCTTGAAAAACATCTCATATTCTTTCTTACTGTGGATGACTGAGATGGTGTGAATATGTATCGCTTTGTTTAAATGTGTCAACCATTATATGGTACCTTTAACCCAAGACTAAAAGTTTTTTTTAAATGGGTTCTGCAAGTGGAATATACAAATTGATTTTCATTTTATTATTTATTTTTGAGAGAGTCTCGTTCTGTTCCCCAGGCTGGAGTGCAATGGTGGGATCTCGGTTCCCTGCAACCTCTGCCTCCTGGGTTCAAGCGATTCTAGTGCCTCAGCCTCCCCAGTAGCTGTGATTACAGGCGTGTGCCATCACACCTGGCAAATAGTAGAGAGGGGTGATGGGGTTTCACCATGTCGGCCAGGCTGGTCTTGAACTCGTGGCCTCAAGTGATCTGCCTGCCTTGGCCTCCAGAAGTGCTGGGATTACAGGCATGAGTCACAACATCCAGCCCAACAATTGGTTTATAATAAAGGAAAATGCAGCACAATGTTTAACTGCATTAACTTATTGGATAAAAAGACAAATACACCTGTAGGAGAGCTTCTGTGGTTTATTACTGTTCGAAGGCACAAATGCCTGTTGCTTTGGCTTCCATATTAGTCAGTATAAAAATCACTTGACGCCTGTAATCCCAGCACTTTGGGAGGCTGAGATGGGCGGATCACGAGGTCATGAGATCGAGACCATCCTGGCTGACATGGTGAAACCTCGTCTCTACTAAAAATACGAAAAAAATTCGCTGGGCGTGGTGGCGGGTGCCTGTAGTCCCAGTTACTGGGGAGGCTGAGGCAGGAGAATGGCAGGAACCTGGGAGGCGGAGCTTGCAGTGAGCCGAGATGGCGCCATTGCACTCCAGCCGGGGCGACAGAGCAAGACTCCGTCTCAAAAAAAAAAAAAAAAAAAATCACTTGATGTGCTTTGTGCAAAATTTCCAGGACCTTATGTCCGTCTTATATGGGTGTCATGAAGTGAATGGTTAAAAGGTCTTTGTAGAAGGAAGGTGGTTTACATCTGTATGCCCTAGTTGAGACTGTTTTAGGTTTCATAGCAGAGTAACAAACAGGAGAAAATAGCTTCTAATTTTAGTCATGATGTATTCTATCAGTTCAACTTCTTACCATTTTGAGTTTATCCAGTTTTCTCAAGTAATAAAATAATATTGCCTAAAGGTTTATTTATTTGGTTTTCTCTTGAGAGAAATAGTAAGGCATGCATAGTTAATTCTACACTTACACTATGGTTGTGTGAATGAAAAAAGACCTGTATCAAAACTATTTGATAGGTTACGGGCACAAATAGAGTGTGAGATTAGCTTTTAGTACAAGTTGAGTACTTTATGCTGCTGATACGGCACAATGGACTATCTGACTCGAGATTTTACTGGAAATGAGTATTATGGCCTTGACCTTTTCCCATCTCTATGATAGACAAGATTTTCATTTTTTAACTTCACATTTTTCTCCTGAAGTAGCAGCACTTGACATGAGATTTATGAAAAATGTGTACCTTCAGCATTGTGTAAATATTTATTTTACAGAGCCATAAGTGTGATCCTTGGTGACAGGTGGAAGAAAATGAAGAATGAAGAGAGAAGAATGTACACATTAGAAGCAAAGGCTTTGGCTGAAGAACAGAAACGTTTAAATCCTGACTGTTGGAAGAGGAAAAGAACCAATTCAGTATGTTTCAATAAATAGTGTTTAAAATTATCTTGCCTCGTCCCTGCAGGTGTACTGGCATGTTGGAGCAGTTGTTACAACCTTTAAGAGGTTGTGTTGATGTTATCTCTAGCATTTTTATACTTCAAAACCTAATAATGTTTTCGCATCATCATATAAAGACTGCCTTTCCTCAAGTGTCATTTACTGTCTTAGCATGGAAAGTCGAAATCTCAGGCAAACTTTAAAAAATGTTTGTTCTAAACATTGGTTGGAAAAATAATTTTGGAATACAGTATTTCTAGTTGAGTTGAAAGATAAGCATTATTAATCCATTAATATCACAGTAGAAAATTTCTCTAATTTTTGGTATGTCGCAACAGCTTTTCCTTAATTGGTGAGGGACCAGTGAGGCTGGAGGCGTTGGGGGAATGTTAGCTACCATTCATGGGGACTTGTGCCATTGGCACAGAATTTCTAGATTGAAAAATTTCGAGGGGGAGAAGAAATAGAAAGGCCCAGGAAGGGTGGCCAGTAAGTCTGTATGATAAGCTATCTTGGATAGACTTGTTTCTTACAACTTTTCCGTTACTAAACTAGCATCTTTTAGGTTCAGTGTTTTTATATTAATTGCAAGAAAATTGCGTGTGATACAGTGGGGTCAATTTGAAATATCATTAAAAAATGAAGGGAAGACATCAGTAGTTTATAGTAGGAGAGCTGGCCAAAGATACTTTAAATTCACTCTGTGTACTTGTGCCTGTTTCTTAGTAACATGCAGGTCACATCTGTTTAAATTTTTCAAGAATTTCTTTAAAAATAGTGGTCAGTAGTCAGACGACAGAGGTGACTGAACTGAGTTTTGGAAGTTCTTGGTTAATTTAGAATTTCTTGTGTTAGGACTTCGCCTGTATCCTTTTCTGTTCATCCTAGTCAATGTCTTATGATTGCATACATTTTCTGGATGCTTGAGCCATCAGATATCAGCTAGCTTTTTAAAATCACCTTTAAGAAGCAGTATTTTCTAATAGTAAATTTATAAACATCTTATACATCTTAGCTTTCATATATAGGGTTACTATGTATTGATTTGTAAACATTCACTGAGTTTTTTATTTCCACAGGGCTCACAACAACATTAAACCAGGATGCTTATGTTCTTAAGTCTATATTTGCATATACATTGACTCTTGATGGAAAGACTTAAGAAGATCAAGGTCTCACCATTTGTCCTCAATTCGTGTGACCATAAGATACTGATAGCATTGAGTCTTGAAATGATTTAATAATATGAGTGAGGATTTGCTTTCTCCATTAGAGCATTAAGCTAAAACTATCAACATTTTAAACCAAATTGCCTTATTTTTCTTCCAAACTTCATATATGTCTATCAGGTAATATAGGCTTGAAAATTGATATCCTGTGGTGCTAAAGTACAGTAGAAAGAGAGGAAAAGTGTATACATGTTTTATTTTAAATTGTACGAAAGGGGAATTTAAAAAATATGTAACTGCTGTTTATACATTGGCTCCTTACTGCTTATTAATCTGTATTGTACACATGATGGAATGAAGCAGAAGCTGGGAGTCGGCCTTTCTTTGAGTAACCACCACATGGCTCAGCATCTGTGCCAAACATAGGCGCTCCTAGTCTGGTCAGTGCCAAGAGGCTACCAGAACATGTGGCAGGTGGCTGGTGTTGGTGTCCCAGCCTAAGAGCCACCTGCTGCAGTTACCATGGCATGCTGAGTTGATGCACCAGGTGGCAGCAGCCATCCATTATTTCCAATGGAGACCTAGCCCAGGCCAAGGTAAAGTTAGTTAATAGCATTGGGATATAGTCACTGTAATGGTGCTATTAACAGTCAACACCATTGTATTTTTTAACTTCGTGTTCTATATCTCCTCAGCCATGTATCTTAAATATATTTTGTCATCATAATCTTTATGGTGGGGGCAGACTTTGCACTTATTGCAGTGCAACACTTGCACTTTAATTTCCTCCAACTGTCTAAAATTAGAGCAAATACATTGGCAATACAGCTGCTTTTGCTCTGAGCTACAATCATGGCTTTTCATGTTACTTACCAAGTGGTGTTTCTGGTTAGGAATCACAGCTGTAAAATTGATTTCAGTTCATTACACTTCTTCATGATGTTGCCCCTAAATTTTGCACACTATATTCTTGTATATTATTTCAAATAAATGGAAAAAAAAGTTGCTTATCTCTGACATTTACTGATTGATCTTGGCTGAATTTTATGAGTTCTCAGAATAACAGGTTCAGGAGATGGAAAACACAAGGTACATTCCTAACACTGCTAATTAGGAGGCTGCTGATGGGATTTTAAAAATTAAAAACAAAAATGTTAATAGCGGAACAAGAGCCATCAGAAAATAAGGACTTAGATTATCTACCAGTTATAGAGAATCGCTACAGAATGAAAATTTTTATTTTTCACATGGTATCTTTGTTACAAGGTTAAACAGCCCAAAGTTCTGCTTTTAATGATGATATAACAAAGTGTAACAAAAGCCTTGCTTTATTTAAAGATAGAGTATGACATACTTAAACAAGGCCATTTAACCCTGTATCTTAGCTTTGGGATGTGCCAGTGGTTCCTCAACTTTGTTGTCTATTGGAATCATTTTGGGGATTTTGTTTGTTTTTTTAAATACTGGTGTCAGGCTCCCACTCCCAGACATGTTAATTAGAGTGCAAGTTGGGCATCAGGATTTTTAAAAAATCCTCTGGTGATATGAATGTGCAGCCAAATTTGGAAACCACTGAGCCTACATGCTTATTTAGTGAAGAAGGCAGGGTTGGGGGAAGCAGGGTACATATTATATAACGTGTTCATATCCTTTTAAAAGAAGTGGGGACTTTGGGTTTATGTACCCATAGGAGGACTCGGTTATAGATGGAAAAGAAATTTTAGCCTTGTACAAAAATCTGAAAGAGGAAAACATCTTTCTGAAAAAATCAGGTCCATGGAATTAAAAGGTGATGACTCGACATTTTTATGCTAAAGTATAAGTGCTAAAGAGGTAAATAAAGGTTGACAGGAAATACAGAACAATCAATTACATTCTTAAAATAGTAGATAGTAGCTGTCTTTTGGAGTATGTGTTAACTGCCAACTATGAATGGGTTAGCACAAAGTGGAGATCAACAAAGCTTTCATATTGTTACTGAAGAGCAGACATAGCCTTCTGAAGCAGCTGAACCATTATGGGATAAACTGGTGCAAATTCTTTGCCTTCTCTACTTCTCACTGATTGAACGTAAGCTTCCAGGGCTCCCCTGAAAACCAAAATGAAAACAATGTCAAAATATGACATAAATCACATAAAACAGATTAGGGGATACCAATATATAAAAATTATTAATAAGCTCATTTCTGGAACTGTTAATGCTCAGTTTCTCAAGCCAAGTGACCAACATCCTTCACTCATTTACTGGTACTGTTACTACGGTGACTATGTTTAGAGTGAAAAACTATAACCATGTTTTCAGTCTGCATTGTTCTTAGTGGTCTAGTCATGTACTCAGAGCCCTCTGGCTGTGTAAGTATGTTCTCAATTTCCCTCTTCCCTGCTTCCCTACTGAAGACGCCTGCAACAGAATAGGCACTTGTGCCTACTCCCAGAGCTCACAAGGGGCATCCTGTGCCTCTGAAAGGCATGCTCAAGAGTACAGGGGGGGATGGGGCCCTTTGACACATTCGGTAACACCAGTAGATGCATTATATTCCTGTTATTTGATGAACTATGAACAACCAACAACTAGAATAAATGCTCTTGGACTGTAATTATTGGCAAAATATATGATTGTGAGGCAGTCTGAATTTAATCAAGGGAATGTGGTACCATTCCATTATTTATGATTATGGTGTTCTCATGGATTAGGTTGGGGGTTAGCAAACTGCCTGCAGGCTGAATATAGCCTGATGCTTGTTCATTTATGTATTGTCTGTGGCTGCTTTCACACAATGGCAGAGTTGAATAGTTGAGGCAGAGACCATGTGGCCTGCAAAGTCTGAAATATACCTGACCCTTCTTTTACAGAAAAAGTTCATTAGTCCCTGAACCAGATCATCTGTTTAAGTGGAGCTAAAAAGAATGGCTACAAGATTAATTTTTAATTATTGGTCTGTTTAAGTACCAGATACACAAACACATTTTTGTCATAATTATATTTTCTTCAAAATTTCAGTTTGAGATTGGAGCATTTATGTAAAGATATAAGTTAATACCATTACTCAGTTCACACACAATAGCACTTAATTCTTAAGTGGTTTTCTTTTTGCTCTCAAATACTGAAGATACTAATCTGATTGGGTTTGTTCAAGATTTTTCATTGAATTATGGGGAATACCCTTCCCCAAAGTCTGGCTATCACTCATCAGTTTGTAGTGCCCTTCCATCCCACCAGCCACTGTCCACGTAAAGGGATTTCAAATCTCTTAAGTTCCAGCCCTGACCTCCCCCTCCTGATCTTTGCTTCTTCCTGTCCTCTGGACAGTTTTATCTGACTTGCTTCCAGGTAGCCCTCAAACTCACTTGTCAAAAAACGGGCAGCATTCAGCCTGCCTTACCTTATTTCAACAAAGGGCACCATCAACTTAAGGTCTCTAAGTTCTTTTCCCCTCCTACACCTAAACAGTTACCAAATCCTATTAATTTGCTACACCCATTTCCACATCCAGTCCCTCCTCTCCCCTTTCCTTCACTTTGAACCCTTGCTATCTTGTGCCCTAATGATTGCTGTAGCCTCTTAGGTGGTGATCATCCTGGTGCTATTTCTCCCTTGTTCTGGTCAGTCTTCCATATTATAGCAAGAGGTCTCTCCCTGAAGTATTACAGCACTTGCCATGCCCTATTCTTTATAGGAAATGTGGAAAGGTCTGACTTCTGTATCAACAGTCTTGACTTAGCAGGGTCCAGCATTTTGGAATCCCTGAAGGCTGGCTGCATGCTCTGGTCAGTTCCTAGACTCAACCCAACTGAAAACTAGCTTCATCATCAAGCTGCTCCCAGCCCTTTCTATGCTACTGCTGGGTTTTAGATAGCTTGATGTGGCCTAAAATCCTCAAATCATTAATTTCCATTTTTGGGGTACCAAGTAATGTGCAAAGCATGTTTGCCCCATTTGTATAGCCCAACCTGACTGCCCACCTAGGGAAAGATCAAGGGTGTCTCTTCATATATTACACTGAAATAAAGCTGTCTCTGCCTAACAAAGTAGGGTGTGCCAAAGGGCCTGTTTATCTTTGGCCATACTGAATGTTTCAGTTAAAGAGCCACATTCTCTTAGCCCTTTGCACATTATCTTCCTGTCCTTAGAATACCCTTCCTTGCTTGCTTTCTTGCGCAGCTCTTTATCTCTTAGGACTCAGCTTCAAATGCTCCCTTTTAAGAAAAGCCTTTTTTAACTCCAGGCAGCAGTAAAGAATGCAAACCACCTTGGAGTCACAAGGTTTGTGAAACTGTCTAACTTCTGTATCAACAGCCTTGACTTAGTAGGATCTGGCATTTTGGAATCCCTGAAGGGTGGCTCCATGCTCTGGTCGGGGCAGGAGTACTTTAAATCAGGTATGTGGAGGGCTGGGCAAGCCCTTACTGAAGAAGCGTAGCTGTTTTAAATAAGATGTAAGTTCATACCATTACTCAGCTCACATACCCAGTTTCAAGTCCTAGCTAACATACCACTCTCAACTGGCATGCAAGATGGAATTTAGTGCTCTTAGAGAACAATGTTTTGTGAGATGCCTTAGTTCAACTCAGAGCTGACCCTTAATGGAGATACTTGTCTATGAAGAAAACTTGCTTCTTTTAGTAATATGCTTCTAGTTGGTATGTCATCCTGGAAATTGTCTCCACTCCCTAAATGTAGTCCCTACAGAATCATATACAGTAAAGAAATCCGCAAGAGCTCATCCGTCTTTTTTTTTTTTTTTTTTTGAGACGGAGTCTCGGTCTGTCACCCAGGCTGGAGTGCAGTGGCCAGATCTCAGCTCACTGCAAGCTCCGCCTCCCGGGTTCACGCCATTCTCCTGCCTCAGCCTCCCTAGTAGCTGGGACTACAGGCGCCCGCCACCTCCCCCGGCTAGTTTTTTATATTTTTCAGTAGAGACGGGGTTTCACCGGGTTAGCCAGGATGGTCTCGATCTGACCTCGTGATCCGCCCGTCTCGGCCTCCCAAAGTGCTGGGATTACAGGCGAGCTCATCCGTCTTTAAGACAGTGAGATGTATGTATCAGTGTCTAAGAAGTGTTTATATTAATAAATAAATTAAAAAAAAGTGTTTATATTCACAGGAACTATAATCATTTCACAGTGAATGGGTTAGATATATTTGATGTACAAAAATCAACGTAGTTTCATTGGCATTTAAAAGGATAAGACATCACATAAATTACACAATATGTAGAAGAAAGATCAGAAATGAGTGGTTAGATTTTTGGGTAGTCATCAAGAACACCATCAGAAGTATGGGGGAAAAAAGATGAAGCTGCCCTCTCACATCAAATTAGAGCAAGATTTTCGAGTACTTATTAAATTACTTCATTTGCTTAAGCAAAACATTAGCTTTCTTGGAAGTCAGGCCAAGCATTATGTAACAGTCTTAACTCTGGTTTGTAGCCAAAATAAGTAGATTATTGAGGTTATCCTTATTGGGAAAAAACAAAACATGATTAGTAGAGGAATGGTTTGGGGTAACATGGCAACACTGCTCAATGTGACAAAAACTAGCCAAGTGGAGGTTTTCATGGAGAACAACACTGATTTTTGTCAGGCATTTAAATATTCAGTGTGATTAGTAAGTACTGAAATGCGTAAATGACGTAAAGATACACTACATGCCTCAATAAGCAGTTAAGCTCAGGATTTTACCTGGTTCTGTCCTCCCTCTTGGTCCTATCTCAGACACACTGTTCACAGAACTGATAGGTAGCTAGTGACATAGGGGTACCCGGAGGAGAAACATTACCCTCCATCAATGGAGATCTTGGGAGTTCTGCAGAAATACAGAAGAGCTGAGGGAATGGCTTCCAGACTGTGGACCCTGGACCACGGTGAGAAGGCAAGGGATCCAAGGATGCACATGGCACCAAGCATTCTCTGATGGTGTAGATAAAAGTACCACTAGGCTAATAAGGTCTGTGAACATTTTTGCCATCATAAAAGTGTACTTCTACTCAAAGAGGGCCATAAGAAGAAG